CCCCCCCCCCCCCCTTGGTCATAGGGATAACACTACTGCCAGGACACCCAGTGATGTTTGCCACCACTGTCTGTCATTTCCAGACCAAAGAAATCTAGCTATGTATTTCTCAATAAGATCAAGGGTTGGGAGGAGTTACAGCAGATAGGAGGTGAATGGGAAGGGCTAATAGGACATGCCTTATTAAGATAGCCCTTCCTCCACTGGACAGTAGCTTATTGTGCCACCATTATATCATGTTGACAATCCTGCTCACCATATCAGAGAAATAAGCAAGTTTCTTTTTCCCAGTAATGAGGGGGCACCCCAAGTACTTGATAGGAAATTGTTGATGATTCATCTCAGTAATGTTTTGAACTCTAGCAACAATATTATAGCTAGTATTTGTTGCCACAGCAAAACATCTTTTGTTTTTATTGATCAGTTGCCCTGAGATACTTTCATAGGCTTTCATTGTATCCATGACCCTTTCAAGAGGTCTCTGTCCCCCGTTACAGAAAATGATAATGATTGTGTCATCTGCAAAAGTAAGGTGATTTATTTGAGGACCATTGCCTCTCATAAAAAAATCCTTTATACCCAGGCTTATCATATAGCCTACTCAACATATGTGATAATAGTTCTGCACCTAGGACAAATAGAGAGGGAAGAGGGGGTCTCCTTGTCTCAGTCCTCTCTCTGATTTGAAGAAACCATGTCTTTCTCCATTTACAACCATTGAGTACCAATTGTTGGAGATATACCTGTGAATGAGTTCCACCCATATTTCAGAGAAACCCATTTTCCTCGAGGCCATACAAAGGAAGGGCCATGATACTCTATCGTAGCTTTAGTCATATCAAGTTTTATGACTACATTTCCTCCCCTGTTAGGTTTTTTTATGTCATTGATGTTCTCTCGTGCTAAAAGGATACTTTCAGTGATGGCTCTGCCCTTAACAAAACCACTTTGGTTTTTGGAAATGATCCGGGGTAAGATGTTAGCCAATCTAGCATTTAGAATCTTAGCAATTATTTTACTAGAGACATTGCACAAACTAATTGGTCTCAAGTCACTAAATTTCTGAGGATGATCCACTTTAGGAATCATAATAAGGCAAGTGTGAGTGTAAAACTTGGGGAGAATGGCACCTTTGAAAAATGCCATAACAGCTCTATGAAGGTCATTAGCAATGATGCTCCAAGATCTTTGATAGAAGCACCCACGAAGGCCATCAGGCCCAGGTGCACTGTCAGTGTCAATGGAGAAGACAATATTTTTGACCTCTTGAATGGTGGGAATACCAGTGAGATTGTCATTATCTTCCTCTGTTATGCATCTCTCAAGACAGTTCAGGGCATCATAGTAGTTATTATGATTCTCCCTCTCAAATAATTTCTTGTAGAATCTGACTGCAGCTTCAGCAATGGGTTCGTTACCCTCAATCCATTGCTCCTCTTGATCCATTATTTTCTTGATTGTAAGCCTTCTCCTTCTTTCTTTAATAGTGCTATGGAAGTATGCCGTGTTTGCATCCCCCTCTTCAATCCATTTAATTCTAGTTTTCTGCCTGAGGATTGATTCCTGAATCTTTAAGTATCTGGTGAATTCTGCTCTACATTTTGACAATTCTCTCCTATTTTCAGGAGAATTATCATTGACACAGTTATCCTCCAGAGTTCTCAGATGTTGCTCCAATCTTTTAGGTTATTCATGGATATCCCCAAAGGTCTGTCTAGACCAGATGCTCAGTGCTTTGCAAGTTTTTATTTTTATTTTTTTATCTTCTGGTGTAGGATGTAGAGTGGATTACCATGGATCTCTTCCTCCCAGCTACTCTGAACCAACAAACTGGTTATAGTCAGGATGGTCAGTCCAAAAGTTTAAGAACTTGAAGTATTTGATTGTGCTCGTGACTTCATTGTTCATCTTCACTAGCAAAGGAGCATGATCAGAACATGCCCTAGATAAGTGTGTAACAGAGGTAGCATTTAAGAGGTCTCTGTCTAGTCTCTTCCATATTGTAGTTGGTGGATCCCTATTGTCACACCAAGTGAAGTTAGAGCCACTATATCCTGCATCTTGAAGGCCACAATCATGTAAACATGTAAGAAAATCCAAGCTTTCCTCCATTCTATGACTTCTTCCTCCTTGTCTCTCTTCACTGGTTGTGATTACATTGAAGTCTCCAATGACTCCCCATGGGTCTTGTATGGTTTCAGCAATATCTGTTAGATCATCCCAAAGCTCTTTCCTGAGTTCCTCTGTGCATTTAGCATAGACCACTGAGAGAAATAATGGATGATCATTTGAATGAGTCAATTTGATGAGTACATGTTGTTCCGTATCTTGAATGATATCTACTTCTATCTCGTTGGTCCATAGGATCCAAATCTTGTTAGAGCAGTTAAAGATACCATTTTGCATCCCTAATCTTCTTTTGTATTTCTCCATCTTACTGCTATGCACCATAGGCTCTTGCAGGCAGATTAGAGACTGGTGTTTGAGCTCTTGAAGCCTTTCCAAGGACCCTTTAGATCCTATCCCCCTAATAATATTGTACTTATCATTGGAAATATTAAAGGTAGGATTTGTTTTGGTTATCCTGCGATTTATTTGTCAGATCATTTGTATGGTCTGAGCATTTGGAGGTGACAAATTGTTGTAGTAGATTATAGCCTCTTGGACTTGTTTCCATACTTGTACTTACCCCTCACCAATTCATCATGGCATGAGTTTCATGGGCATCTTAGGATCTATAGAGTTGTCCTCATTGAAGAACGGCATTCTTTCCTGTAGCTACTTGGAGGTCGGGTGGATCTGCTTCTTTGTTTTCAGCAAGGTTCCCTTTATGTACTTCTTTATTTTTAATTTCGGAGTTTATACAAAATCATCACCTCTCTTTCTTTTGAATTTGGACTTGTTGTAGGAGATTTTCAACATTTTCCAGCACTGGGGCTTTCTCATTGCTAGATATCTTGACGCTTAACTTTGCCTGATGCTTTTTTGCCTTCTCATTCTTCCTGGTGACTTGAGATTTGTTCCATCTAGTGTTGTTGAGAGTATATATTTTTAACAAAAGAGAAATACACAAACAAAAAGAAGAGTCGTTATAGAGAGAGAGAGCTCTTCTGGCACCGAAGATGAAAACAATCGACGGAGACACTGACGGCGAGAGTAGGTGAAGAAGCCCTGAGCTGGGTTTTATTTTAGAGGTCGTTTGGTGGAGTGTACTAGATAAAATAATGCATGCGTTAGCTTTCTGTATTAGTAATATTTTGTTTTGTACACTTTTTCAATCTATGTATAATTAATATAAACATTAGTTATACACTCTACTTGTTATTATTCTATCTTTAACTAATGCATAAAAAATCATGGTTTAGTAATACCAAGGGTATTAATGCATGCATTAGTATGATAAAAGATAAAATTGTCATTAAAGTCCCTTAAAGCTAAAAAATAATAAGGGTATTTTTATAAACAACTAATTTATTTAAAAGTTGTGTAATGCATTTTAATTTTTAATGCACCATACCAAATAGTGTATAAAAAATAATCTTTGCATAACTAATGCTTGCATTACTAACTCATACATTACTAATCCTTGCATTACTAATACACCATATTCAACATTATTCTTATACACCCTACCAAATGACCCCTTACTGAGCTATGTTCATTGCACTAGGAAAGGAACCGTTAGTTTTGTGCATCTGTTTGGGTTTGGTGTTGACAGAGACTAAAGGTTGCTCAACTTATATAAACTTAAAGGACAATAAGTGCTCAAGATAATATATAAAGGACAAATTTAAATCTACCCTCAAAAATAAATGACAATTTTGACTAAAAACTCGTTAGAGAGATGTAGGAGAAGACAGATGATGTTTTCTCTATTACTTTATTCAATTCGAATTAAGCTTACTTTTTTGAACCCCAATCAAGTTTATTTGAGTCAAAAACGATGTCTAAACCTCCCCGAATTGACTGATATAAGTTGATGGTACTATTGAATCAAAGAATTCCCAAAAATTACAAGCGAAAAATAAAAAAAATGAAAATGGAACAAGTGGCAGGAGCTCGTGGTTTCATATTTCAGAAACAGCTAGCGGTGGCTGAGCCTCCATAAATGAATACAACTGTACGAGCCTTCCTTTTTGAAAGCCCAAACTGTTGACAAGAACAACCAAAAACAACAGGAGCCAACTGCTGGTAATGCTTACAACTCGAAAAAGAGTTTATCGATATTTATACGAAATTATATTAATTTATCATAAATAACTGATAAGATTAATATAATAATATGTATGTACTAATTAATTATGATTAAGTGATGATGTATATGTACAATTACAAAGACACATGTTAATCGAGGGTAAATAAAATCTTTCGTATGCACCCTCTCCCCACGCAAAACCATAACCATAGTTGTAGGTTCATCACTTTTCTCCTGAGCCAACTGCTTTTGTTTGCCCCATGTTACACAAAAATGGTTGGTTCTTTTTTTAAGAAAAGAAATTCAGTGGGCCGCCAATATGTTTTTAATATTCAACTACTTTTGGTTCCGCTTATAAATGGGGAATTGTGTGCCCTGACTTCATTGTCTTAAAACAAAGGCAAATCTTGAAAAGTTTAACATAAAACTTAGAAATAGTCTCAAATGGCTTCTCTGGTTCTTCTATTATCTGAGCTTCTTAAACATGAAAATACAGATTATTTAACCTCATCCTCACCTTCTTTAAATTCTTCAGTTTCTAATTCTTGTGCTGCTGTGGCTGCCAAAGGAGCTCAATCATTTTCCAACAAAAGGGTATTCAGCTACTCTTCAAATTGTTTCAAAGTGGCTGAGGAATTAGAAGAATTACCCAGGATTTGTGTTGTGTTGATTTAGTTTGGCCTTAAAGCATTTATTATCTTGTAATTAACTATTTTGCATCACTAATTAATTATTTCACCACCATTCCTTTCTATATATGCTTCTTTTGTTTTTCTTTACTGTTTTTCACATTCCATTTATTTTACTTACGTATTAGGTGTAGTTTTTTTTTTTCCTTTCATTTCTTTGTGAGTAAAATTCACAAATAGACATATAATTGTGACTTTTTTCACCAAGTCATATAACTATATTTCCTAACACAATATTCACAAGACTTTCATCTGCATTATTTTTTCACACCACATTTTTTATGTTTTTAAATATTTTTAATCTAATAAATATTGCACCCAAAAAGCCTTTTAATAGAGAGAAGTTATTAAAAAACAATTCAAGCTCTTTTAATTGGATCAATATTTATTAAACTAAAAATAAAAAATAAAAATTGAATAAAAAAATATAACATTGTGGAGTAGTGGAAAGTCTAGATTAATTCCTCGTATTTTAAATTCTAAAAAGCTTATTTCGTAAGCAAGTCGAATATGTGGCGTTCAGTTTATGAATTACATTTGAAATTACAAGTATTGACAGACTAGTAAGTTATACCGACTTAGTAACATATGCAAAACACAACTTTGGAATGTAAATACTCAAAAACGAGTGGCTGGGATATTGCATTAAGCTTAAGAAACTAAATTCGCTAAACTCAAGTAGTAGAATGATGTAGAAAAGAGAAAAGAAACGTAAAAATAGCACGGGCTAGCCAGTTTTCGGACTGGTCATTTAAAAATAGCCACTATTTTGCTGCAATAGGGACCGGTCCAGCATAATATACTGAAGATCGGTGCATTTGTGTATGAACTTCCAGCATATTATGCTGGAACTCCAACACGCGGAAAGTTCCAGCATAATATACTGAAGATCGGTGCATTTGTGTATGAACTTCCAGCATATTATGCTGGAACTCCAACACGCGGAAAGTTCCAGCATAATATACTGGAGATCGGAGCACCTGTGTATGAACTTCCAACATATTATACTGGACCGGTATATTATACTTGAACTCTAGTATATTATGCTGGAGTTCTAGTATACTTATGCTCGAACTCCATTATAATATGCTGGAGTTCCAGTATACTTATGCTGGAACTCCATTCTAATATACTGGAGTTCCAGTATATTTATGGTGGAACTCCAGTATATTATGCTGGAGTATTTTCTGGATTTTGAACAGTGTTTTCGTTCAGATTTATCTTTACATGTAAAGTGGCTAAATTTCGATTACTTATGAAACTGTGGCTATTTCTGAATGACCACTTATAAATCTGGCTATTTTTGAATTTCTCCCTATAGTAAAAATAGCACGGGCTAGCTAGTTTTCGGACTGGTCATTCAAAAGTAGCCAGTGTTTGCAAAGTTATTAAAAAATAGCCACTATTTTACTGCAACACAGAGAATTTCAGCATAATATACTGGAGATTGGTGTACCTATGTATGATCTTCCAATATATTATGCTGGAACTCCAACATGCGAAAAGTTCCAGTATAATATACTGGAGAGTGGAGCACCGGTGCTCCAATCTCCAGTATATTATGTTGGACCGATATATTATGCTGGAACTCCAGTATAATATACTGAAGCTACAGTATATTATCCTA